CTTAGAGGGAACACTGGTTGTGAGTGAGCACTTTAACTATTGCATCAGTTAGTTTGCTCTGGAGCCATCCTTCCTGAGCTAAGACAAAAACGTTTGAGGTGGAGGCTAAAAAACTGTGATCTGGCTCGCACTCACTCAGCTTAGAGGGAACACTGGCCACGTCCTTAAGTGTCTTTCGACTTCACCTGCAAGGTTTGATTTGACTCACTTGCCATTTTGTAGACTTCATTTCTCCCCAGTGGGAACCCAAAGCAGCTTCTGTCGTTCTCCCGCCCTCCTTGTAAGGATCTCACGGCGACCCTGTGAGTTCGGTCAGGCTGAGAGAGCGTGACTGGCCCCAGGCCACCCGGCAAGCGTCCGTATGGCAGAGGGGGGATTCGAATCTGGGTCTCCCAGTCAATGTTCCCTCTAAGCTGCGGAGTCTCGTGAACAAAAATTCTACTTTGTGAGCTACTGGCACTAAAGTTGTGAGCGAGCGATTTGGATAGTCTGCTCTGGAGCCCTCCTTCCTGAGCTGAGACAAAAATGTGTGAGCTGGAGGCTAAAAAACTGTGAGCTAGCTCACACTAACTTAGCTTAGAGGGAACACTGCTCCCAGTCCCTATTCTCACACTCTAACCAGTGCACCACGCCCCAGACCTCGATGAAGTGTAACCCCTTTCTCTGCCCCCTGCCAAAAGAGACTTCTTGCAGACCCGGTGCAGAGGCTTCACTGGTATTTCAGAGAGGAAGTTGCTCTCAGAAGCGAAGGTGCAATTAAGTAGTAAAGAGCCAGGAGCCAACCAGCAATGCAGGCTGTTCGCAGCAAACTACCTTCACATTACTACTGCGTCATTCCAAACATCACGGTCCTTACAAGAGGCACCCCGGGGACTGAGCCTGCTCTACGACTGGTTTCTGTCCCCACCGCGGAGCCTGCAGACCCGTCCTCCCGCTGGGATCCCAGGGAGATGTTTGCCCACAGCCTCTGAAACAGTTAACCGACTTGCAGCTCCCGCCTCCTGGCGTGAGATCACTTCTCCTGCTTGCCAATCGCTGCTCTACGCTGCAGCAAAAGAGTTGGCTGGAGCCGAAGCAGCTCAGAGCAGAGGGAGAGAGGCGGCAGCCAGGCAAAAAGGCAGCGGGGGCAGCGGGGCAGGCAGGACTTTGCTCCCTTCCTCCTGTTGCTTGCCGGAGAGAGAGCAGGAGGGGCTCTCCCCACCCCAGATGTGATCCCCCCCTCCACGCTGGGTTGCTGGGGGCAGTCTTGGCTGCGCCTGCCGTCAGGATGATGGGCTGCAAGACCAACTCGCTGACTTGCCTGCAAGGCGGGAAGCCGGGGCTGCCCGTGGCCACTGCCACGGACTCCACGGCCACGCTCAACAAGCTGGCCCTGGCCACGGGGGGCACGGAGAAGTCCTGGTACCGCTGCGTCTTCCCCTTCGGCATCGTCTCCTTGGTCATCGGCGTCGCCGCCACGTGCATCACCTTCACCATCAATGGGCCGCAGATGGACATCGCCAAGGTGGTCTCCGTGGCCACCCTGATCTTCGGGGTCGGACTGCTGGTGGCCGCCTTGGTCTGCTGGCGGGCCAAGAGGGAGAGGCAGCGCAAGAAGCAGCAGGGCGAGCCCGTGGCCGTGGAGCAGGGAGCCCTATGATGCCGGCGCCGAGCAGGTAGAGCGTGGCCAGAGCTTTTCCCTTGTGTCCCGTGACAGAATGAGGGGAGTCTGGAGGGGGGGGGAGAGCTTTGAGGACAACCCCCCCCATTGTTTTGGAGATGGTGGAACCTGGCAGCATGTGGGTCCAAACCCCGTTTAGAAAGCAAGCAACGTTATGAATAGCAAAAGGACGCCCAGCCAGGAAGGATGACTGACAGTCTGTGGAGCTGCGTGGCAGGAACCGGCGGCTGGCTACGCACCCGGCCAGAGCGTCTGCCCCAGATGACCCCCTGTCCTCAGGGGACTGCGGCCTTCTTCCCCACCCAGAGCGAGACCCCTCGTTTGCAGAGAGCACCGGGGCTAACTTTAAGAAGGCACCGCCAGCGCAGAGTGAGCAGGGAGGTGTTTACGTCCTCAAGGGCACCCCCTACCTGTCTCCCTCACAAGCTACGCACATCGCTGACTGATCACAGAGAGTCCTTTCTTCCTTCCCCCCCCCTCTTTTTTAAGGCAAGGAGGATGATGGAGCGGTCCTCAACAGTGAAGACAACAAGGGTGTCGTGGAAAGTTCCCAAGCTGCTGCTGCTGCTGTTGGATGAACAACGTGATCCTTCGTTTTTAACTGCGGGGGGAGGAGTGCCGTTGACATTGGGGTCCTGATGGGCAGTAGCTGGAATGGTGCCCCCTTTTTTCTGTGTGTGTTTGGGGGGGGGCATGTCAGGGATGACAGCTGGGATTCTTGGGATGAACACATGCTCTCCCGACAAAGGACAGAGAAGAGGCACCCGTGTTTCCCGGTGAGAAGAGACAAATCAAGAGAATTTAAGGAATCGTACAGACGAGGAATGTTGTAGTGTGTGGGAGGGGGGGTACAGTCTCCTGTTGTGAGCAGGGCAGGGCAGGGCATGGGAGGGGAGTGACTGACCCTTGAGAAATACTGACCCAAGTCACAGGAGAAGTTGATCCGGTGGGCCCTTTTGATGCAGGGGGGCTGCGTGTTTGGACAATACCCGGATGGGTTGGGTCTGCCTGAGCGCGGGCTCAAGCAGCCCATGCAGTGTGCCTTGTGCCTAGGCTTGCTTGCACACCGGTTGTCAACTGATGCACAAGCCAGCCACGCATTTGGCCACCACAGACGTGGCACGACACGCCGTGCCGATTTCAGAACGGTGTCCACAGCAAGGGCGGAGAGGGTTCTCCCACCCCAGGGAATCCCTGGATTGCTTCCACGTGGATGTTTTGCTTCCGTTTGGCATCCAAACCGGAGCCCGTTCTTTTCTTTGCTTTTTTAGCATCCACACAGCATTTGTCCCCTAATCATCTGCTTTCCAGGTTTTCCCTTGTTTTGCTGTGACGTTTCTCAGATTTGGTTTGATAGGATCCTTGCCGGGGATAGAGACTTACCTTTTTCTTAGTGGAAGCCGGGAATTCCGAGGAATGAGTAGATCACGGAGACGGATTGTTATAAAATTATGATGCTAGAGCAGTGATGGCGAACCTTTTAGAGACCGAGTGCCCAAACTGCGACCCAAAACCCACTTATTAATCGCAAAGTGCCAACACGGCAAATTTAACCTGAATACTGAGGTTTTACTTTAGAAAAAAACAATCCATACATTAACTTAAGATTATCCAAACAAAGTAAGGAAAGCAATCCCAAATGCTTTCATTTACTTAAAATTATTTGGCAGAGAATTCGACACTTTAATGACGGTCTGGGCCTGGCTGGGGCGATGGCACACGTGCCCACAGAGAGGGCTCTGAGTGCCACCTCTGGCACCCGTGCCAAAGGTTCGCCACCACTGTGCTAGAGTGATCTAGCACGTACTGATTGAAGAAACCATGGGAAAGCCCTTGGTGATGCATGAGGAAGGGAGACGGGCAGTTGTGGGGAGGAGCTGAGGCCAGGAAAGTGTCAGAAAGACTGATGTGCAGGTGCTCCATTTCTCCTGCAAATGTCTCTGCATTTTCAGGGGCAACAGAGAAGGTGTCACTCGGCTATCACTGCATCAGTGGTTTGGGGCTCTGTTTGAAATTATCCCAGCTGGAAAAGGGTGGCTGCTCAGTTTGGAACAGCCCTAAGGCGATTGTATGCATTATAAACAGAGGACACGAGGGGCGAAATAACCAAGGAAAAGATATGGGACGGGATGGGGTCGATGGACCTATTTCTTAACTCCTCTCCTCTTTGGTGTAACTTTTCTGGCAGGGTTTCTTTGACTCTCTCTCTGTCTCCGCAACAGGGTGGCCACAATCCACAGCTGTGTTTCCCAGGGAAATCCGGGAAGAACTCTCTTCCCTTTTGCGCCCAAACTCCCCCTCCCAGCCGCCCCTGCTGGAGTCCAGCAATACTCAGGGCGGCTCCAAGCAGCAGGGGGGAAAACAGCTGCTCTTTGGCTTCTCAGCACCTGGAGCCGGTCCACATGCGCACATGCGACTGGGAAGGAGTGAAATCGGACACTTTGTAAGTCTAGAAGCCGGGAGAAGAGGGAGCAGCCAGGACAAGCATTGGGGGGGTGTGTGTTTTCAGTCGAGAACGCAGGGCGGACACATCCATCACGTTTTCTGGCCGAGGTCCTTGAGGGTATGCTGGCTGATCCTCTGGTGGGGCAGTCCCGCTCCTGGCCAGATGTAATATTTGTCAAAGGGAGGACTTTATTGCGCACCAGGGCAAGGAAGCACAAGGGAGTGAGTCTTTTGGGACTCCTCCAGATGGCCGTCCCCCGCACCTCTGGCTGGGCCCCTCTAGAGCCGGGGATCGCTCACTCGAACCTGTGTTTTGCCGCACAAAAAGAGAAAATCAGCGCACTGTTGTGCAGGCAGTCTTGTAACTGGCACTGTCTGGAAGCAAGGGCTTTAGCCATTCTGTAGCATATGTACTCCAGCCTCGAGTCGCCTATAAGCAAGGTGCGTTTCCCATATTTTGTGTGACCCTCTCTCTCTTCAGCTCCGTGTGTAATTTGTACCGGTATGGCTTATCTTTCATTTCTGACAATGTGAAAACATTTTTTTTCCTTTGCCAGTTTCACTTTCCCTTTTTCCCCCTTTTTTTTAAAAAAGCCCACTGAATTAAGATTTAGTAGGACCAGGGCTATTTTGGGGCAGGAACGCACAGGAACGGAGTTCCGGGTGGCTCCCGAGTTGGCCACGCCCAGCAGGAACTCATTAGCATAATAGGCCACACCCAACAGCAGAAACTCATTAGGATTGGCTACATTAGGGGTGTGTGGCCTAACATGCAAAGGAGTTCCTGCTACAAAAAAAGGTTTTGACAACAAACAAGGTAAACAGAATAAGAAGCAAAAGGTGGGTGTGGCTGGATAACCACACTTCTGGTAACATGTGGGTGCAGCCTAATGTGCTAATGAGCTGTGCTGTCAGGGGTGTGGCCCAATATGCTAATGAGTTCCTGCTGTTGGATGTGGCCTATTATGCTAATGAGTTCCTTCTGGGCTTTTTCTACAAAAAGAGCCCTGATAGGACTGGGGGGGGGGCGGCTGGGGAAATAGCCCTGCGGGGCTGGAAACCATTTCCCTGAGCCACCAGCTGGCTCCCTCTGAGGCATGCCCTGAGAGATGGCAGGATTTTTCCCTCCCAGAATCCAGACAGCGCAGGCCGTGGTGGGGCGGAGCACGCTAGCCGTTAACCGTGTCGGTGGCGTGATGGAAGATTCTGAGACAGCGCACAAAATTGTTGCCGTGTAGCCAAGCGTGCCTTTGGTGGAGGGCCTCTGCCACTTCCTTGGAACTTGGCGCTTTTGTCTCGTGTTTTCAGTGTGGCGCAAAGAGACAAAGGTGGTGGTGGGGAGAAGCTTCCAAAAATATAAACTGTGCCTATGCAAAGCCAGGTTTTTACCGCTCTGACACCTTCCCCCATCCTTTCCTGCTCCTGGTGGAACTCTGAATGACTTCTTATGCTTTGTGCTCCAATCCAAGAGTATTTACCACGGGCAGCTTGAAGAACTCTTTTCATGCAGAGTTCCTGAAGGAAAGTGTGTGTGTGTGTGTGTGTGTGTGTGTGTAAGAAAATCATCCAAGTTTGGTGTGTTTGTGGGGGGGTAGACCCATTTGTGCTCTGCACCTTTGTGGCCTCATCGCCCCAAGAGTCAGAGGGGGGTTCCTAGAATCAGTCTGCCTATAGCTGCTCCGTTTTCTCTCCATTCCTGTGCCCCAGGCTAATCAGACGGCTCCTCCACTCTTGGCAATCAAATGAAATGTGTGGTATTTCCTGAGCTGGAGGGGAATCTGCGGACTGTTTCTTGACATCCCTGAATCAATCTCCCAGCCGCCCACGTCAGCGGGCAGATTTACACACCCTGTCCCTTGGAACCACAGGCTGGAGATAATCAAGCAGGAAGTGACGTTCAAAAAGGCATCTTAAGAGAGAGAGGACAGCGTAGTGGCTGGATTGTCAGATTGGGGCTGGAGAGATCTGGATTCGAATCCCCACTCGGCCATGAAGCTCTCTGGGTAACTTTGGGGTCAGTTGCTTTCGCTCTTAGCCTGTCCTGCTTTTGTGAGGATGAAATAGGGGTGGGGTGGGGGGCAGTGTTCCCTCTAAGCTGAGTTAGTGTGAGCTAGCTCACGGTTTTTTAGCCTCCAGCTCACAGATTTTTGTTTTAGCTCAGGAAGGACAGCTCCCAAACAACTGATTTATGCAGTCCCCAAATCGCTCGCTCACAACTTTAAGGCCCGTAGCTCACAAAGTAGAATTTTTGCTCACAAGACTCCACAGCTTAGAGGGAACATTGGTGTGGGGGGAGAATGGGCCTAGTGGTGCCAATCCTCAGGTGGCCCCCGCAGTCCCCCCAGAATTACAACTGATCTCCGGGCTGTATAGATTAGCATGTGTGCAAAGGGCTGTTAAGTCGCAGCTGACTTATGGTGACCCCCACCCACCCAGCGAGGGGCTTCCAAGGCGAGTGAGCAACACAGGTGGTCGGCCAGGGCCTCCCTCTGCAGAGGCTTCCTTGGTGGCCTCCCTCCCAAGTCCTGACCCTCCCTGCTTAGCTTCTAAGATCCGATGAAGTTGGGCTATACCGGGCCACCTTCCCTTCCATTTAGACGAGTGCCCCTGGAGAAAATGGCATCTTTGGGGGCATTACATCCCCACTGCGATCCCCTCCCCTCCCCAAATCTCTAGGAATTTCCCAGGCTGGAGGTGGCAACCCTAGATGGGCCATGTATGTTACTCTCTGAGCTCTGTTGAGAAACAGGGATGTGAACAGCAGTGTTCCCTCTAAGCTGAGATAGTGTGAGCCAGCTCACAGTTTTTTAGCCTCTGGCTCACACATTTTTGCCTTGGCTCAGGAAGGAGGGCTCCAGAGCAAACTGATTTGTGCAGCAGCAAATCGCTCGCTCACAGCTTGAATGCCAGTAGCTCACAAAGTAGAATTTTTGCTCACAGGACTCCACAGCTTAGAGGGAACATTGGTGAACAGGTGAGATCTTAAGTAGAGTCCTTCTAGACTGCAGCACCCCCCCCCCACATCACCTCCTTAGGAGGTTCTGTCCCTGCTGCTCCCCAGGCGTCGAAGAGACTTGGCCGGTTTCTGTAGAGCTTCTAACCCTAAATAACCACCAGAGCAAAGACAGCTATGGAACACAATAATTAGGAATGCTGCCTGCCGCCAGTCCTGTGGCTGGGCTGGGCTGCCTCCTTCTCTCTGAAATGCTGTTATTTGGCTTTGGCGAAAGGTCCTGTAGCAAGAGATCCGCCAGCAGAGCTCTGCTTTGCTTTTATGGAGCAGCCGTTCCATCCCCCTCTCCGCTTCAGCTCAAGGGTGAAGGGGGTTTGATGCCCCTCCCCAGTGGAGTTTTGCTGAGCTCAGTCTGAGCATGCACCCTCCCTGGGGGTGTTTGTCCCCGGAGGAAAACATATGGGTACCCATATCCTGCCCCCTCCGTGGGGCAAATTGCCCCCTCCCCTACCTGGACTGAAAGAGCAAAAACTGTGTGTGGGGAAGGGTTTGACACCCCCCATCTAAATTGGGAGTCCCTTAAGAACATAAGATGGGCTCTGCTGGATCAGACCAGTGGTCCGTATAGTCCAGCATCGTGCTTTACCAGTCAAAGAGTGGCTTCCATTTACAGCTTAGAAGAAATTGATATTGATGCTTGGAATATTGCATTCTGCAGGACAGCTGTCACCCGGGCATGTTTTGGAGTCTGGGGCCCAATGGCAAGGCAAGAGCACTCTCCTGTAGCTGCTTTGCCAGGGTAGCAGCCCAACTTAAGTAAGAGAAACCCATAGAACACTGTTTGCATCCAGTGGCACCTTTAAGACCAACGGAGTTTAATTCTGGGTATAAGCTTTTGTGTGCATGCACACTTTGTGCGCATCACCTTGAGATTTTCCTGCTCGTGAACTGTCTGTAAGCCAACGGCTTGTGTCCTCAGTTCAAATATTTTGGTGCCAAACTGTGCCCCTGGCAGGAGTTGGGGGAGTGAGGAACGATTGCCTCATCATGTCCCCAGTGTCATAACTGCGGCCACCATGGCTCCTTGGTGCTTATGTAACAAAGGAGATGGATG